GCAAACTCCAACGCGTCTTCATGCCTTTCTGTACAATGAAATGCGCAGCAAGCATAACTCAACAATGTCAACATAGTTTTGATCAGACTTAAAAGACCTGCGAAATACCTTCACCAACGACGTGTTGAAACAAGGCTGTTGCTGAAATTACATATTAGCCGACAATATCTCAGATAGCGCTGTCATGGCAGAGTAAAACACCTAGAAGCCGCACATCCGCTCATGTCAAAACATCTCTGCGAGTTTATTTCACTTTCTCTCCGTCGCTTTGAGGCAGGTAGAGGTAGAGGAGGTACTGCCCCTGATCACCCGTATGTGGGGTCAACCCTCGAACACAAACCCTTTGCTTTGATTTCTCTCACACTTGGAATTTCTCAGATCCTTAATGTAGACACCACAATCAATATTCATCCAATTACTTGATCTTAAAGTATGTAAAACTCATGCAGAAGTGCCCGTGAGGGAAGGAAAGGAAAGGGAAGGGAAGGAAAGACCGTGCTGCTTAAGGTTGTTTTTTTTTCTCCCAAGACCCTGAATGTCAAACCTTTCCCCCCCTTTTTTTCCAGTGTTGTTTAATTAGGGAATGCTTATCATAGGCGCATGGTACGCTACTGAGGGGTGACAACACCCCAGTGTTGTAAAATTAATTATATCACTAATGTGGACCCTGTGCATGTGAAATAGCTGAACTCTCCCCAAATAGCTCATTAATCTTCAGACAGCCACTCCTGGGCTAGGTGAAGTGGTCTTGAATTTCAATACCCACCCTTGCTGGTGTAACCTTTCCCTCTCTCCTTTTCGCTCGCTCGAGCAGCCGAGGGGAGAACGGGAGCATTGGAGAGAGAATAATATTGTCTGCAGCCGTATCTCCAGCACTTCTCCTCTCTGAGTCATATAATTATACACACCTGCACCGTTTGCCTAAAAACACACATGCGCACACGCTCGCTCGCCGGAGCTCCGGGTTGAATGTGGAGCAGACCTGAGAAGTGTCGATGTATCCTGTGATTATTAAAACAAAGACTCTCCGGCTGCTCTGGCATAAACAAATCACTGCAAATCCTTGTGTCTGAGTTTTAAAAGCGCCTCCGTTAAAAAGACCAAAGTAGACCCCAAAAGTTATTCATTCATCCCCCACTGGAAAGTCGAATTGATGTCTTTATTTTCAGCTTGCGAAATTAATCCAGTATGACTTTTAGCAGCTGCTTTGCTTGTTTACACCAAAGAAAACAAAACTCTAGCCGCTCATCATTAGACCCATGAACCGAGGATTGTTCTGCCACGGTCTCCAAACACATAACTCCTCACGTCACTCATTAAACGGCTTTGTTGCATTTGTACTTCGACTCAGGCGTGTTTGTTTTGCACGTAAAAACTTCTTAAACAAGATAGAAAACTTGAAGAAAAACACAAATGAAGAAGAAATGATTCTTTAAAGTAAAGTACAATTCTTTTAGAAGAGGTTGTCTTGTTGCTAAGGGAGTATCTACTATCATTAACTGAGCATTTTAAAGGGTATTACAAATATTTGTGAAACGATGCACTTCATAAAGTTGGACAAAGTTAATGTTAAAATCAATGTGGGAAATATGTTATAGTGTTTTAAAAGAGCTTTTCCACCTAAATGACAACCTCTTTTTCCAATCCTGTACCTTCAGTTGAAGAAAATTAGCTCTCTCAATACCAACACCAGGCTATCCTTTTGACTGGCATCAGGGAAACTTTCTTAAACTTTGACCAAAAAGGAGTAATATCTGTTCAAATCGTAATTTTATTGACTTTGTAAAATGTAGTTTTTGTGACGTTGGTTTCCCATTGGTTTCTGAGGCGGTCGCTATGTTGGAAATGCTTATTCAAACTGACTTTAAGTCAATCGAGGAATGGGCAAGAAGGTGGCCAATTTCTCAGAATTCAATGGTAGTTGTGGTTAAGAAAAAAACTATTTTGTCTTTAAAAACAATTTAGTTAAAGTAAATCCATTTTCTTACATTTAGAGATGCAACTGCCAACTGTTGTTCCAAGATAAAAACCTTGAAACACGTAAAAACGTTCTCAAAACTCTGTTTACCCCAATGGTGCGTTTTAGTTTTTCTTATAGGTAGTAATTTACGAGCTCTGAGTCGGAACTTTCAACTGGAACCAACGTCGAGGTTGGATTTCCGACTCGGAAAGTCGGACAATCAACACAGCCCCGAGTTGACGTTCAAAGATGGCAGCGTCGGTTGTAAACTGTAAATTAAAGCTCCTGTTATAATCATTTTATCAACACTTTTCACTATTTATTGCCGCAATAAGTCGGCCTGAGGCTCCGGCTACAAAAGTATTATTAGATATTTATATATGGAAATGTTGTCATAGTGTAATCTACATTTTCATGTGTTTATGCGAACTACAAAGCTGGCTGTGCTAACAGTAGCTAACAATGGCTAACCGTAGCCTGGTAGTTTCAGCCGCTGTTTTATTTTTTTGCTTATTTTAACTTAAAATTGACAAAATGTGTGTATGCAGTTGTCAAGAGCACTTGATTAGTACTTTTTGTCAACAATGAAATACCTAGAAAGAAAAATAGGGCTACCTTCTGCACCTTTGTGTTGCCTCTTCATTCACTGTGTTTGCATGTCACAGAAGGACCGCATATTTGTCCAGAAGTTGCTTTTGTTCGGACAAAGCAATCACTAAAATAACTTTAGATCTTGTTTCTGCTTCCGATTTTACTTTTTTTCCAACTTGGTAACTGAATTGATGGTAACTCAGGTGTGACGTCATTCCCAGCTCCGACATCTGACTTCGTAATGCACCATAAGTCCTGCTCCATTCGCTGTCCGTGGTGCTGATCTTGCTCAGAACAGACAACCTCATTCAGGCGCTGTCCGTGGTGCTCATTCTACCTCCTTTCTGAGCCTGAGCTCCTACTATTTGTTTCTTTTTTAATGTCTGGCCTTGTGCCAAGCTCATATTGGAACACAGCTCATCTATTCTTCCTATTATTACTACTTACATTATCATTGTTATTAACTGCCAGCCTCATAAAACACTCATACAGCTGTCTCACTTCACTTTTTTTGGATGATTGATTCTTGGAATATGTCCTGTCGAAAGATAACACCAATTGCATCCTCTGTTTGTTTTGTATTGGTGGTGTTGTAATTTGCCAAACCCTATTTAGTGTAAGTATAGTTTGGTTTTCTCTGGGTTGTTATTTTCCCCACTGTTTGTCTGACAGGGAGTCTGGTCTAGTCTGCCCTGTTGGCAGTAGTGTTGATTTTTTTTTTTCTGCTCTCCTGCTGTCGTGGTTATTAAAACACAGAGAACCACCAAATCCAAACGTGTTGACTTGCACTTGGGTTTTACTCAGCTGTTATTACTATGAGCGAAATGGGTTTATTTCGCTGCAGTTATAATAGGCTGACAGTCTTTGGCGTTTCCATCATTAGAGCCAAGATGCTGGAGTTTTTAAGCAGAGAGGAAGTTAAGAAATGGAAATATTAGGAAACAAATATTCAAAGCAAACAATCTTAAATGGATGGATTAAGAAGAGATTTAAAAAGATATATATAAAAAGACTTAAAGTAGAAAGCAAAACAAGTTAAAGTTTACAGGTAAAAAGTCTGAACATTGAGTCCCAGTCTAAGCGTTGCCATCCTGCAGCCTTTTTCTACCACTAAAACAGCGAACTAAAAGCCCCGTGAGTCTGATTTCCATCTCTTCTGCAGTCACAACACAATTTTGTTTTTAAGTATTAATCATCTCATCTTGTTTACCCATTAGCGGTTCCTTTCCAAAAGCCTCTTATCACTGTTTTCATCCATTAAACTACATGGCACGCATGTCATCCAAGCTCACTCTCCGTCACTCTAATTATGGGATATATTTTCTTACTCTCGAGTGGAACATGACACAGTGGAACTAGATTGCTCTGAGGACGTTTCGACCCGTCTGATTCTGCCTTTTTGTTTATGTCGACATGCTGGTTTTTTGTAATACCTCCACGTAGAGTAACCTCCTCTTATCCGCAGTGAGGAGAAGCAAGATGGTGAATCAGAGGAAAAGCGTGTTTTCCTTCATTACCGCCCATTAGAGTTGTGTCTTTTCCGGGAAAATTGGACGGGAGTGATCTGAAGAGTGTTGAGGAAAAAAAAGCGTTCTCTAATTGGTTCTAAGGGTCTACTGTACGTGGTGGGCCCGCTGGATGAACTGTGTTTCCTCATTCCAATTAAAACTGCACAGAAGGTGAATCAACGGCTACTTTTTGAAGTGCTCGCGGTTATGGAAATGGAGTGTGGCATCATGCTAATGTCTGGGAAACTGATCCAGGTTGTAAGATCCAGTTTTTGTCAGTGAGTGTGTTTTGGGTTACTTGATGTTTGGGAGATCAGAAAGGACAAGTTACATTCATCATACGAACAATGTTAATGCAAAACGACTTTTCGTCATGTTGATATTTTTATTTAAATATGACAATACACATTTATCCAGGAACTTAGATATGCAGGAATTAGCGCATTAGCTTAGTCTTATCTGTAGTCTTTATGTAGGTGTTTACAAAACAGACAAAATTGTTACATATTACACCAACTTTAATTTTACTCAGTTTGTAAAAATACCGAAAACAAATACGTATTTGTATTTACTGTTTTTGTTTTTCCAACTAAAAGACTTTTTAAAACATTGACGAGGACGAGAAAACGTCGTTGATGTGAACGCTTGTATTGACAGGATACAGGTTCGAAAAAAAATATTGACGTCCGAAATAATTTCACGAAAAAAACGCTCCTGGTGTGTAAGGACCTTTATGCAGTTAAACTGTGATCTCTTGCATTGATTGAACGGAAACTCTTTTGGCTAGCTTGTATACATTTGCACCTGTCAATCAAAGTCAAAAACCATTTTCCGAATTCAAATAAATATGTCAAGCAGATGGAATTATTTTCTTATTCCCATCTTAGTGATGATGATATTTTTTTTGTAAAAAGTTACGAATTAAGCACATACAGGCCAATATTAGCAAAGACTGTTTTGTCCACAGGGGGCGCCAAATTTGACACAAACTCAAAGATCTTAACAGAAGCTTTAAAGTACTCTACTCTTTTGCATGTATTAATCACAACCATGATGGGTGGTTTGATAGTTAATGCCTCATTATTTTACAGCAAAACAGAAACTTTAACAAAGTTCTAGTTTTGGACACAAAGTTCTGTTTTCTAACTTCTGTATTTTTAAAATGCTACAATAAATGATTCCTTTATACATATTAAAGAATTGAGTCTTATTTTTTATAATTAACAGCTGAAAAGAAAATGTAAAGCTGACTTTTAATATATCTCTAGTTTGTTTTTAAGGAAGAACAATACATCTAATAAAATTGATAATGAGATTAACAAATTAAAGCCAGGATGCATGGTTGCAGTCTCCCCCAAGAATAACTTAAAACTAAACAAATAATACAGGATTAACAGTCTTTGCTAGCTTATCTCCAACTCCGAGCTAAATCAGGATAGGTCCTTTCTTGTCGAAACTTTTCAGAATAAAAGTTGCGTTCACTCTGACCGTGAGTAAAATCATTTACATAGTCGATTTGTATGTGAAGTCAAAGCAAAGACGTGATTGGACGGGAGCGCTTTTGGGCCGCGCAGATTGTGCGAATGAAAATTTAGCGTCCTGTTCTTGACTTTGTTTTATTATTTTTTAGGATGAAAAGGGAAGGTCCCGCCCTCCTTCGCCTCTGATTGGCTAGAAATCCTCGGCTCCGATTGGTTTTTCAGTGGGGTTAGGGTCAGTAGATTTAGAAGTGCGATAATGTTCTGTAATGTTCTGTTCGATGTACAGAGCCGACAGCCTGTGTTTGTCTTGAGCGTGTGATGACGTTTCCAGCTTTTCTAGCCAATCAGAGGCGAAGTAGGCGGGACTTTCCCCTACCATCCAACAAAAAAAAAGTATTGCGCCCTGTTCTCGTTATGCGCTTATTTGTGAGAGTTGAAAAGTCGACCATGAACCAATGGAGGTTCATTCATTTGGTACATGGATGATGACATGACAGCTACAACTTGCTTTCAGTAGTAAGATGGGAATAAAATAATATTGATTCAATCTGCTAAACAGATTTATTTGAATTTGGAAAAGTGCTTTCGACCTTTATTGACAGGTGCAAATATATAAAAATGAAGAGTTTCAAAAGAGTTTCTTTGCAATCAATGCCAGAGCAAACAGTTTAACTGCATAAGTAATTCATAATAAAAGCTGTTTCTAACTTTCTCTCACTCTAAGGAAGCAACATCTGATCACTGATGGCACCTTTTTTCACTTGCGATGATAAAAATAACACCACAACACTCATTGCAAGATTAACTCTCGAAGCAGCAGCCCACAGCTTCACCACTTCCACCTTCATTTTTACATACCGGCCCAGGTTTTTCATATCCTGGGGCCACGGAACAACTCAGCACAGAGCAACATGACAAATACAGTACAGTAAAAGCCACCCAGGCCAAATCTATCTGCTTTATTGCTATTCACCGTTCCCTCCCTCCATCTGCTCGGCACATCGCACAACCTGATGTCTCCTGCCTCTGCCGCACTATTTTTACCTGCTCCTAGATACCGTCTCCCTGCATGTGACGTCAAGAGGGAAGGAGGAAGAGACAGAGATGGAGAGCGAGCGGGCGAGCTGTTATCATTCATCTACAGTGTACGTTAGCGCCTCGCTGTCACCCTCCAAGAAAGTAATCAGGATGTAATAGCAGAGTGGTGGAAAAAGACATGGCTTATGCTGATGGAGCTTGTGAAGAGTTAGCACCATGTTCCATGTTAAGCATGCTCATCTGTTCTAGGAGTGATGGTTTGGGAACAGTGTGATCTCGGTTGTTAAAATCCTCCGACACCCCTGAAAATCTTTTTTTGTGACAGCTGGGTTTAACATTCGTTCATGTGTCTGTCTTACAACTTCATACTCAAAAAAGTGACCTCTGCCTGGGTTGGGTTGGCTCAAATCTGAACATCCACATCCCAGTGTATATTATATCTTATTTGTTTATTTAAAGCTCCAGTGATATTTTTGTTAACATTGAGGAAACAGACTGAAACTCATATTGATGCTTTTCTACACTATGCAAAAGCAAACAAGACCAGCAGAAACAAGATTGATGATTTTTGTAATGCAAATTTTATCGCCTGAAACCTGTGTGAGGGGGTAGGTGTCAGTGAAGATGCTGTTTTTCTAATTTAACTACCGAAAAAGTCGGAATGATGAGATTATTTGTCAAAAGATACGGAATAAGCACGTAGAAGGCAGAATTAGCTTAGACATTTTGTCCACAGGGGGCGCCAAATTTGACACAAACTAAAAGATCTTCACAGGAGCTTTAAAGTACTCTATTTTTTAGCGAGTATTAATCACTACCATGATGGATGGTTCGATAGATAATGCCTCATTATTTTACTCAAAAAAGTGACCTCTGCCTTGGTTGGGTTGGCTCAAATCTGTACATCCATGTCTCAGTACATATTATATCTTATTTGTTTATTTAAAGCTCCAGTGATATTTTCGTTTGCATTTAGGAAATAGACAAACTCATATCGATAATTTTCTATTATTTCCAAAAGCAAACAAGACTGTCAGAAACAAGATCTATGATTTTTGTAATGTAAATTTTATCGCCTGAAACCTGTGTTAGGGGGGTAGGTGTCAGTGAAGAAGCTGTTTTTCCAATTTATTTACCGAAAAAGTCAAAATGATGAGATTATTTGTCAAAAGATATGGAGTAAGCATGTTGAGCGCAGGATTAGCAAAGACTGTTTTGTCCACAGGGGGTGCCAAATTTGACACGAACCAAAAGATCCTCAGAGGAGCTTTAAAGTACTCTACTTTTTTTGCATGTATAAATCACTTCCATGATGGGTGGTTTGATAGATAAAACCTCATTATTTTACAGCATAACACAAAGTTCTAGTTTTGGACACAAAGTTTTGTTTTCTAACTTCAGTATTTATAAAAGGCTAAAATAGATTATTCCATTATTCATATTAAAGAATTGAGTTGTATTTTTTAAAGTAACAGCTTAAAAGAAAATGTAAAGCTGACTCTTAATTCATCTCTAGTTTGTTTTTAAAGGAAAGTAATAAATCTATTAAAAATTGATAATGAGATAAACAAATTAAAGCCAGCATGCATGGTTGCATTCTTTCACAAGAAAAACTTAAAACTGAACTTTAAGCTTTTGGTTGAAGTTTTTATTTGGCTATGATATCAATACAGATGTTTCTTTATAATCAATAACAACAAATAGAACCACAAGCAAGAGGAAAGACTATCTTTGTAAAGATATTTTATGTTAATGTCTGAAACCAGTGGTGGGGGGTAGGTGTCGGACTATGAGTCGGTTAGGCTTTATTCACATTTAAGGGCTAAAAGTAGAGAATTACAAATTACACACGTATAAATAATTGATTTGTTGGCAAGGAGCGCCTCAATCAAAACAAGAGGAAAGTTCCCTATAGTAGCTTTAAAGCCACTTATTAACGTAAATGAGTATAACAAGAGAAAACTGATTGAAATTTGTACAAAAAATGAAGATGATTTATTGTAATTTATTGTCATTTATGACACTTGAAGGATTGACCAACTATTCCTTTTAGAAAACACTCTTTATGTTTGGATTTTTACATCTTGCTGCTCTAAATAGTCTCTTAAAGACATTCAGAGTCGATTACCTCGACGTTGAAGTTTATGATTGATGGTATACTGCATTATCAGAAGGGTACACAGTTAATAGGCATCACCGCGTTAGTATAAGTGAGTGTGTACTTGTCTTCGTATTCATGCCCATACCCTCATCCTCACACTGTGTGCGAGTTTAACCGTCTTTGTCTTTGAGCGAGCGTGCGTGCATGTATGTGTGCTTTTACCTCAGCGGGCGCCACAGTGCTCCCCGCCTGCTCGCAGCATTAACGCTCAACCTTGTCCAAGGTTAATCTGTCACTCTTGCTGTATATTTGCATTCATTCTTATCTGCACCTCACCACTCAACTGGCTGTCTATCTGCCCCAGCCGCTGCTCCAACTTAATCGTCTTTGTACATTATAGATGAGCCCCCAACAAAGCAGACACACACCTGGACGCACATGCACATACAAATTCCCTTTCCCTCGCAGCTCCAATCTTCTTTTTCCATTCCTGAGCGCCTCCTCGCCACACCACACCGACAACACAGATTCCCAGACTGTCAATATTTACTCTTTATTTAACGTCCCGGCGAGCCATTAAACTCTCAAATGTAATATATTTATCACTGCATGGGGGCTTTTGTGTGTGATCTAAGTGTCTCTCTCTCCAGTGCGGGAGCCGCAACTCATGCTCTTCCACTTTTACCTCCGGAAAAACAAAAGGTTGGCTCGTAATTAACAGCGAGGAGTTCATTTGGAATAATGTGCAGATGCAGATGCAAAAAAGTTAGAGCAGGTACAATGTTATAAAGTTTTTTTTCCCTCCTTTGTGTAATGAGGCAGCATACCAGAGCTTGGCTTACTTGTTACTTTATTAGGATGTGTGAAAAAATATGGAGGCTCATAAGTGGATGCCTGCAGCGTCTCCAAAGCTGATAATAAACTGTAGAAAACAGTATGAAGTGTGCGATTCCTATTTTTGCATTTGTTGTTCGTGTACACAAAGTGTGTTTTGGGTTTCAGCAGCTCTCTGCATGAGCAGCGTGGTGCTGACTTACTTGCTAAACATCTGAAAATGGAGGTCGCTGAAGTGCATGTTCCTCTCCTGGTTAATTTAGCACACTGTCTTGTGTCAAATCCCCAAATCCTTGAATAATCAGGGGGATTTAATTTGACTGCAGAAGGTATCAACCTTTATATGAAGGAGGCCCTTTATGAAGATATTGTGATTATCTAACATGCTGCAACTAAGACAGGAAGGCGCTTAGTGTTGAATATATGATAAGTTACCATATCGCAGCCAAACAGTGTTAAAGAAAGGGAGAAGAGGACTGAATATGGACATGAAACAAAAACAAGGGCAACACTTTACAAGAACCAGAATTTATGAATGGTAAATAGATAGTTTACTAATGTAATCATCATTTAAAAACAGCATATAGACCAATTATAAATGGCAAATAGATAGTTTATTAATGTAAGATAATAGTTACTTTACCATTAACAAGTGATGAAATTATGATTATTAATGGACTATTTATTAAAGGTTTATATAGGGTTTAAATATTGGTTGTAAAACATCTAGATTTAAATGTGTGTCAATAGCACTTTGTAAATAGTTGATATTTGGTTTTTAAACCATTTATAAACATTTAGATGGTTATTGTAAAGTTAGGGTTAGGTGTTTAAAATTGTAAAATTTACAATTTACTAATGGTCTATATGCTATTTATAAATGATGATTAAACATGAATAAACTGTCTGCTTACCATTTATAAGTTATGGATATTGTAAAGTGTTACCAAATCAAGACATTTGATTATGACGTCTAGTGTTGCGCCTCTTAAAAAAAGGCACAATACAGTCAACGAATATCACACATGACCAAGAACCCAAACCCTCTATGTCTGGACCTAATTTCCTAGAGTGTATATGTATTTGTTTAATCAGTACATACCAGTTTATTAGCCCTGAGTATTAGTCATCATTGGCAGGGCAGTAGGTATTGCTACATTCCATTTACCTCGGATGTCGGAGTGGGGAATGACGCTACACTCGAGTTGACGGCGTTCCAGTTAACAAGTTGGAAAACCAAGATGGACGCCTACTGTTAGCTGTTGTTAGCTGTTGTTTACAACTGTCAGCTGTCGTTAGCCACTGTCAGTTTCGTTAGTGGTTGTCAGTTGTTGTTAGCTATACCAGTTGTAAACAACGCATAACATAGTATTTTACTCTTACAAACACAATAGCAACATGTTCACAGTTAGACGTTGGGAAGTACAACATACACCACTTCACAAAAACAAAACAGAAGTGCTAATAAATAAAACATTATGAGAGCTTCACTGTTACTCTTTACTGTTGATGCACTGCACTGCCATCTTGGATTATGACATTGTTGTGAAGTCAGAGTTAGTCAGACTTTCCGATGAATTTCCAGATGAATTTCTGACTCAGAGCTTGGAAATTCCGACATCCCAGTACAACTAGAACACAGTATAGTTGTCTGTTGTTTACTTAGCTCTGTGTGTTAGCTTGATTTTCTCCATTCTCTTATTTCTGGGTAATTGTCTGATTGGTCATCTTCACCATTTTTCGAAACACCTTATAATCATGATTTGTAGCTTTAAAGTGTTTTGTAGCTGTAAGTAATAATCTGATTGATGGACATGCTGTTTCCGATTGGTAGCCTGCTATTTTCCCAGTACTGGGTAAAGATCTGATTGGTCGCTTTTGTCATTTTCAACACATTTACACAGCAAAACAAGGACCAAGCTGTCTGTGTCTACAGCCGCCCTCCCTTATCCTAATTCATTTTTTAGTTTCCTCACTGTCTCCCAGGAATACCACTCTGACTGTCCCCTGAGAAAAAGTTCCTCATGTGTTGAGTACACAAACAAACCGCGTACACAAAGTTCAATGTGGGGCCTGAAAGCTATGTTGTAATTTAACACCGTACCTTTTGGCATGTTTGCCGATAAAAAGCTGTTCAGGAGCTCATTTCTGCGACGCCGCAGCTGTCTTGGGAATCAGCTGTTGCCATAAAACTCCCAGATGGCAGCATCAACACTGACAAATAGAAACAGGCGAGTTTAATTTTAAAGCGAGAGCGGATCTGGAGTCTGCTCTCGCAAACAATTTACCGTGTTTTTCTTAGTGGGGGAACAATTTTACCCAATCTGCACTTGCAAATTTGTACAAAGGGGGAACTGATGACTCAAAATAACCTCTGAGACAATGATGTCATGCTTGTACTGTATGAGTATGAAGTGAAGTACTGCCAGCAGACTGTTGTACAACTCAGTGAGCTGTGTTGAGATGTCTTCTGGGATATAAAGGCCAGAAGTTGAGTCCCTCAAGTGGACACTGACTGATTGACTGACTGGCAGGCTTTCTGTGTGTTTTTGTGCAGGTGTGTGTCTGTGTGCGCCTGCATTGTCTGTTGGGTGTCATCTCATCTCTCTCCATACAAACTTTACCCCCCCTCTCTTCTCTCTTTCCCTCTTGTCCAAAGCTGGTGACATCTTGACAGATTAAAATGCTGTGTGCGCCAGTCCTCGCTCGGCCACACTGGCGAACCGTGGGGACACACCGCTGAGAATCGATACGAGAAAATACTGTCTCAGACAGATATCACACACTTTCAGAATGAATCCACACAAGTGCAAACATATGCAATTTATCACAGTAGCAGAAAGTAATTAATCACGATTCAACACAATGTGAGATCAAATATTTGGATTAGAGCCGCAATAATGGAAAAATCAGTAATAATGATGATCTATTTGAGAGATTTTCCAGCACTGGAAAAATCTTTAGTGTTTATTAATATGGATGACTCGCCTCAGTGAAAAGTGAAGCCAAAATGATCAACACAAAAGTATTAATCTTTAAAAGTTTAAAAGCAAAAATAACATTTTATTGGACCTGCATTTTGATTTTTAAGGCCGTTTTTAAGAAGCAGCCCAATGAGTTTTGGTTTTACTTTTGGGGAGATGTCTTTCCGTCCATCTTTTCATACCGTCTACATTAAAAACTAGTACTTAGCTGCTCAAAACATTCTAGTTTTCACTCTGTTTAAGGCAAGGCAACTTTATACATACAGTACGCTTTGGCAAAAAGGCAATTTAGCAAGACTCTGGAAAACAGTTAAAGGTACAGTAAGCGGTTTTTGCAGCATTTGGCAGAACAGATTATAATATTTGTCTGTTTAAATTAATGTATAAACAGTGAAGTCATTTTGTTTTGGTAAAGTCAAGAGTTAGCCTTTTATATCCATGGAGGCCACCATGTTTCTACAGCAATGAGAACATTTTATTGGACCTGTGTTTTGATTTTCATGGCCCGTTTATGAGTTTTGGTTTCACTTTTGGGGAGATGTCTTTCCATCCATCCTTTCATACAGTCTAAATTAAAAACTAGTACTAAGTCTCTCAAAACATGCAAGTTTTCACTCTATTTAAGGCAAGGCAATTTTGTACATACAGTACGCTTTGGCAAAGAGGCGATTTAGCAAGACTCTGGAAAACAGTTAAAGGTACAGTAAGCGGTATTTACAGCATATGGCAGAGCAGATTTTAACATTTGTGAGTCTGTTTAAATTAATATATAAACAGTGAAGCCATTTTGTTTTGGTAAAGTCAAGAGTGAGCCTGTTATATCCATGGTGGCCACCATGATTCTACAGTAGGACTGAAAAGCGATGCATCACAGTCACTTTTTGTCCTTGAAGGGCACTGTAGTTCAACAACTGAAGGGCAAGCTCAGCAGCCCTTACATCAAGAATCTGGATGATATTGCTAAATGTTGTAGTTACTACTGAAAAAAACTGTAAAATTCAAAGACAAAACAAACGTCGAAAGCAGATTGTGAAGATATAATAACAGTTTTAGAGTATGAGCATAAAAGTTACAGCTCCCTAATTTACAGCTAATATGAACCGACAGTATCCGACATGGTGCTCTTGTCATACCCAGAGCAAAAAACACCTTTTCACATGTTGTCTGTTGGCAGGCTTACCCGAGTATCTGATGCCAGGCCCTGACCTGTAAATGTCCCTCTGTCACCTGATACCTGTGTGGTTGCTAATAACAACCGACAGATCCAGTCCAGGACACCGTGGTGATGATATGTTCCATGGCAGCAGGTATCCTGGATAGTTTGACATTAAACGTAATGGTGTCACGGCCCATCCGTCCATTTTCCTAGCTGTGGTTGACTACACTCCAATTTGACATTATATACTCACAGACTCTAAAAAACATCATTATATTAAATTTATCACCCATTGTAAGTATTTGCTGTGTGGAAAGGTTCCTTTTTAGCTCTTTGTCCATCACCCAATCTGACACCTACCCCCTCACATCATTTTTAAGCATGAAAAATCAACAGAGATATCATTGGTTTTATTGCAGATGGTCACGTTTGCTTTTGACGGTCACAAAGCTGCATGGGAGTCAATTTCAGTCTGTCTCTCAACTGGTTCAAAACTCCTTATAGTGCCTTTAAAGGGTACTCTTAGTACTCTTTGCAGGGGTGTACTGGAGTCTGCAGTCCACCCACATTTCTAAGCATGGTCCAAAATAATACATAACTGAGAAAAGTACAATTTAAATGTGAAAATGAAAATTAATGATATTTTAGTCATTTCCTCCTTGG